GCTTGTATCATCGCCGATGCATTGTTTTTGCGCCCGCCAGCGTCGCTATGCTGGTGCCGCGCGTCATCGTGGCGGCTTCCCGGCACGCAGCCTGGCGAAGAGAGCAGACGGGTCCAAGGAACCGCCCGGAGAGCTTCGGCGCAGATCCGAGCGGGCCGACGGCACCCTGGCATGCAGCGGTCCTGTTGAGAGCTTGTATCATCGCCGATGCATTGTTTGCGCCCGCCAGCATCGCTATGCTGGTGCCGCGCGTCCTCGTGGCGGCTTCCCGGCACGCAGCCTGGCGAAGAGGGCAGACGGGTCCAAGGAACCGCCTGGAGAGCTTCGGCGAAAATCCGAGCGGGCCGACGGCACCCTGGCATGCAGCGGTCCTGTTGAGAGCTTGTATCATCGCCGATGCATTGTTTGTGCCCGCCAGCATCGCTATGCTGGTGCCGCGCGTCCTCGTGGCGGCTTCCCGGCACGCAGCCGTCGAGAAGCGACGGGTTCCCAAGGAACCGCCCGGGAGCGAGCTTCGCCGAAGATCCGAGCGGGCCGAACGGCACCCTGGCATGCAGCGGTCCTGTTGAGATCTGATATCATAGCGGATGCATGTTCGCGCACCCCAGCATCGCTTATGCTGTGCGCGCATATCCTCGTGGCGGCTTCCCAGCACAGGCACGCAGGCAGCCTTGCGAAGAGAGCAGACGGTCCATGGAACCGCCCGGAGAGCTTCGGCGAAGATCCGAGCGGGCCGACGGCACCCTGGCATGCAGCGGTCCTGTTGAGAGCTTGTATCATCGCCGGTGCAGTGTTTGCGCCCGCCAGCATCGCTATGCTGGTGCCGCGCGTCCTCGTGGCGGCTTTCCGGCACGCAGCCTGACGAAGAGAGCAGACGGGTCCAAGGAACCGCCCGGAGAGCTTCGGCGAAGATCCGAGCGGGCCGACGGCACCCTAGCAGGCAGCGGTCCTGTTGAGGGCTTGTATCATCGCCGATGCATTGCTTTTGCGCCCGCCAGCATCGCTATGCTGGTGCCGCGCGTCCTCGTGGCGGCTTCCCGGCACGCAACCTGGCGAAGAGAGCAGACGGGTCCAAGGAACCGCCCGGAGAGCTTCGGCGAAGATCCGAGCGGGCCGACGGCACCCTGGCATGCAGCGGTCCTGTTGAGAGCTTGTATCATCGCCGATGCATTGTTCGCGCCCGCCAGCATCGCTATGCTGGTGCCGCGCGTCCTCGTGGCGGCTTCCCGGCACGCAGCCTGGCGAAGAGAGCAGACGGGTCCAAGGAACCGCCCGGAGAGCTTCGGCGAAGATCCGAGCGGGCCGACGGCACCCTGGCATGCAGCGGTCCTGTTGCGGGCGTGTATCATCGCCGATGCATTGCTTTTGCGCCCGCCAGCATCGCTATGCTGGTGCCGTGCGTTCTCGTGGCGGCTTCCTGGCACGCAGCCTGGCGAAGAGAGCAGACGGGTCCAAGGAACCGCCCAGAGAGCTTCGGCGAAGATCCGAGCGGGCCGACGGCACCCTGGCATGCAGCGGTCCTGTTGAGAGCTTGTATCACCGCCGTTGAATTGCTCGCGCCCGCCAGCATCGCTATGCTGGTGCCGCGCGTCCTCGTGGCGGCTTCCGGCAAGCCCCTGGCGAAGAGAGCAGACGGGTCCAAGGAACCGCCCGGAGAGCTTCGGCGAAGATCCGAGCGGGCCGACGGCATCCTCGCATTTCAGCGGTCCTTTAGGAGGCTCGGAAGTCCCCCGCCTTCCGATCAGTCTTTTAAGCCTTCCCCGAAGACGCCAAAAACTTCTCAGAGGGCGCGAGGGCTTCTGAGAAGTCCCGCCTCCTTCTGAGAGGGCCTTCTCCTTCTCATTTCCCCCCTCGCTCGCCGCCGAATCCCGGGCCAGTCCTGTGGCTCCCATTGCTCCTCGTGGTGAGCCTCGGGGGTCCACGTCGATGTTAGTCGCATTGCCGGCGCCCGCGGGTGTTGGTGACGGCGCCGCGCCTGTGGCCGAGCGCGCTCCTTGGACCCTCTGCTCCTGGTCCTGAATGCGTCTGGGCACCCTGCTTGCCTTTTGTGCTCCTGGTGGCCGACCCGCTGCAACCAGTGATGTGTGTAAGGAATCATCGATGATGGCGCCGTGCGGGTGGTGTCAACTGGGAGGCTGCATCGTTGGGGGGCCACATGCGAGCCCTACCCCTACCCCCCACGATTTCTGAGGGGGAGGGTGGGGTTCACTTCGCCCGGGAGCGGGAGAGGGGCCCGTGGGCGGCACCAGGGCCGCCCCGCATCCATCTAAGAGCCAGTCTGGAGGGCACACCCTGGGATCAGACAGCAGATGTCCCGCCCCTCGCCTCACGGAAACGCCGGGAACGCCACGAGCGGCGGGAACGCGGTGCCGCTCCTCCTGCTGCTCCTGCTCTCTCCTCCTGCTGCTCCTCCTGCCGTTACGCTTCGCCCACGCGCAGGGGGGACAGGGGCAGAGAGGAAGGCTTCTTAGAAGCCCCCCCCCTCCTGCTTCTTAGAAAGCGCGGGCCTTGTCTGTAGATGTAGGGCCGGCGCTTTCTGAGAAGCAGCCTCCTCCTAAGAAGCCTCCCCCCCTTCCCCTGCCCCTTCTGTGCGCGCCGCCAAGCGCTGCTCCTCCCGTGCCCCTCCTGCTGCTCCCCCTGCCGCCACGCTGCTCCTCCTGCTGCTCCTGCTGCTGCTCCTGCTGCCGCCACGCTGCTCCGCCCGCTGCCGCCACGCTGCCTCTCCGGCTGCTGCTCCTGCTGCTGCTCCTGTCGCCGCTGTGCTGCCCCCGGCGCTCCTGCATGCCGCTGCTGCCGCTGCTGCTGCTGCTGAATGCCCCTGCTGCCCCTGCTGCCGCTCCTCCCTGCCGCTCCTGCATGCCGCTCCTCCCTGCCCTTCCCCCTCGCTCCCTGCCCGCGCTCCTGCTCTCTCTCTCTCTCTCTCTCTTCTGTCGCCTCTGCTCTCTCGCTTTTCTCGTCTCTTCACCCTCTTCTCTCGCTTCTCTCTCTCTCTCTCTCTGTCTCTCTCCCTCTCTAGTCCATCTCCCTCTCTCTCGCTTTCTTTTTCTCTTCTCTCTCTCTCTCTCACTCCCCCTCTCTCTTTCTCTATCTCTCTCTCTCTCTCCTCTCTCTCGCTCTCGCCCCCTCTTCCCCCTTCCTTCCTCCCCTCCCGCCCTCCAGGCGCCCCCCGCCCCTCGTCCTTCCCCCCCCGCACCGGCTGACTGCCGCCTGCCGCGGCACCCCCGCCCGAAGAATGCTGGCCAGGACGGGATGGACCTGTCCGCGCTGCGCGCTGGCGCAGGACGACCGTTTTTTTTCACACACACACACGTGTGTGTGTGTGTGTGTGTGTGCGCGTGTGTGTGTGTGTGTGTGTGTGTGTGTGTGTGCGTGTGTGCGCATGTGTGTGTTTGCGTGTGTGTGTGTGTGTGTGTGTGTGTGTGTGTGTCGGCCGAGCCCTTCTCCTCCTCCTCCTCCTCCTCCTCCTCCTCCTCCTCCTCCTCCCCCTTCTCCTCCTGCGTGGTGGTACAATTCGCCATAATGGCACACCCGTTTAGGCCTTTCCGCTGGCGCAGCCTTCCCCTGCCTCGCCGCCGACGCAAAATCAGCCTGGCGAAGGACCCAAGCATCTTCAGTTGTGAGTGCCGCAGTGGTGTGTACCACCTCTGGTGGAGCTGCCTAGGGGGCCACGAAACATGCGACGTGCACGCCGAATTGGAACGTGAGAGGGGTGTGCCGAATCGGGTGAGTGTACACCATGTGGACCCTGCTGCTGGGGCCTTCGGTGGAACTCCCTTTGGGGCCACGAAGCGTGCGAGGGGTGCGCCAGATCGGGCGGGTACGCCATGTGGACCCTGCCGCTGGGGCCCTTGGCGGAGCTCCCTAACGGGCCACGAAGCGTGTGAAGGGTGCACCGAGTCGGGTGCGGGTACGCCATGTGGACCCTGCCGCTAGGGCCTTCGGTGGAGCTCCCTAACGGGCCACGAAACGTGTGAAGAGTGCGCCGAGTCGGGTGCGGGTACGCCATGTGGACCCTACCGCTGGGGCCTTCGGTGGAGCTCCCTATGGGATCACGACGCGTGTGAGGGTGTGCCGAAATTGGATGGGCATGCAGAGAGCAGTGGCAAGGAGGGTGAGGAGAGGGGAGGGGGCAGCGGGAGGTGAAGTGAGGTGAGGGACGCTGGGTGCTGTCTTTTTTAAAACTTGGACCCAACACCACAGGATGGTTGGGAAACATATATATATATATATATATACACATCTGCGTGTATGCATGCATGTATGTATGTATGTATGCATGTATGTATATATATATGTATATATATATATATTCTCCTCTTCCTATATTTTTATAAGCCCGGGCGGGGGGACCCCCCCCCCCAAAACCGGACTCCCGGGATCTGGGGCTTTGGGACCCTCCAGACGGGCTTCGAAGCGGCCACCAGGCCTCACAAGGCGTTTTGCCAAGCCTTCCCAGCACACCTAGGACGATCAGGGGGGTCATCGGAGACGTCCCAGAGACCCCCAAGACAGCACAAGAGCGCTCCAAGAGTGACCGACGCGACCTGAAGATGGCCCAAGAGGCCTCCAGGACGGCCCAAAGAGGCCTCCAAGAGCACTCCCAAGGAGGCCCCCCGAGGCAAAAATCATTGATTTTCTTTAGGTTTTTGGTGAATTTTAGGGTTCTCCCTTTTCGGCTTCCCGACGCTCCAAGACGGCGGTCTTCTGGGCGTCCGAAGCCGCCTGGGAGGCTCCCAAATCGCCCCACAACCATCCGAAAGGGATCCCAGGCAGTCCAAGAGAACCCCAAAACGGCACAACACGGGTCCAAGATGGCCCTCAGAGAGCCCCATGGCGGCCCAAGATGGCCCAAAGACACCCTCCGAAGAATTCCAAATCGTGATTCGGTCGTTCAGGGAGACCGCGGTTGGAGGCAGGGTGGCCCGAGGAAGCCCCAGAGGCCCCCAGAATACGCCCAGGAGGTCTCCAGAAGGCCTTAAGAAAGCCCGAAACAGCTTTTGTGAGGCCCCTAGAGGCTCTCCAAGGAGGAGCCTCCGCAAAAAGAGCTGAGGAGGATGGGGAGAATGCGCAGGGCATGGCGAAAATAAGGAACAATAAGCATGGAGGATGGATAACGAATAACTTCACTATAGCGGCGATGCCAGAAAAGGCAACCAGGAGTTATCGCTAAATTGTCGGCTTGACTTTCCTGCCATTCCGCCTGCATACCAAACTTCAAGGACCAAGGTGCATGGCGCGAAGCGCCACTGCAGTCTTGTATGTGTGTGTGTGTGTGTATGTGTATGTGTGTGTGTGTGTGTGTTCGTGCGTGCGTGCGTGCGTGCGTGGGTGCGTGCGTGTGTGTGTGTGTGTGTGTGTGTGTGTGTGTGCGTGTGTGGTCTCTTCGCCGAGCGCCAGCTCCTCTTCTCCTATCTGGGGTGGGGAGGGGCGATGAGGGGAGGGATGGGGGGGGAGAAGGGAGGGAGAATGAGGAGGAGGAGGAGGAGGAGGAGGAGGAGGAGGAGGAGGAGGAGGAGGAGGAGGAGGAGGAGGCCATGGTGATGGTGATAGTGCATCGGCGAGTTCGCCGAGCCGCAGCTCGGCAGAGGCATGCTGCGCATGCCCCTTCCTCCCCTCAGAACTCCTCGACGAGCCCCTGTACTCGTACTCGCCGCCGAGCTTCTTCAGCTGCTCAGCAGCAGAGCGTCTCTACGAACCCGAGTGCCCATTCTTGTCGTCGAGCTTTTTCTGCTGCTGCCTACTCGCCCAGATGAGGGCGAGCGTGCAGAACTTCTCTCAAACTGTATGGTAAACTCAAACTGTATGGTAAACTCGCCCAGGACAGCATCACCAGCTTACCGAGAACCATGGTTTTTGAAAGTGGTCCTACGCATGATTTGTTGCCTCGGAGGTGGAACGTGGCCCGGTCGAGAGGGAGGCCCCGTTTGCAATGGGCAACTTATCTGCATGCTGAAGCGTTATCAGTGGCGCACGATGACCCAGACACGTTACAGACCCTGCTGCAGAATCCTTCAGAATGGCGTGAGGCTGTAGCTCGACATTGTGCCATATAGCTTTGATATTCTTGCCCCGCCCTCCCCGTCCTCCCCTCGTCCTCCTCTCCTTCCCTCCTGCCCTGTCTCACAAATTGCGCAGATAACCCTTCGCACCTCGTTGGGAACAAAGGCTACAACGACGGTTCCCCGAGGCACTGCGCAATCTTGCGTTTTTCTGCATGCCGGCACGCATTTGATCAGCATTTTCAATATGTTTGCCAATGCGCCGTCAGGGCGCGGCTTCTGTCTGTCTGTCTGTCTATGCAGAACTTCTCGGCCAGCTCCAACCACGCCATTTGAGTCCACAGCTCGGCCTCCGCGAAGGTGGGGTGGGAACGAGCCGTGCTACGGTCAACCCGCATAGTAAGGATGGGCAACCTTCCCAAGGGTACCCTTGCATCCTTGCCCCTTCGGCCCGTCCTTAGCGACTCTCGCCGGCCAAGCTCGTTCGGAAAACGTTCACGTGGGCCTCCAAGGCCCATCCTGCTGATACGGGTTGACTGTGCTCGAGCCACGATGTCCACCGGTTCTCCACGTCTCCCCTCTTGGCGGGGCGCCCGCTGACGTGCCCAGCCCACACCGCGTCGGCGAAGGCCTGGTCCTGGCGCCCGCGCTGTCGGTCGAGTTGTCGGGCCCCGCGGTGGTGACTGACAGGGGAAACACGGTCTCCACATCGAGCCGCATCGTCGATGCATCGGCGATGCGGCGCGATCCCCTGACCCCATCTACTCCGACCCCATCCAGGAGGCCTAGACTCCCAGGCTTCCGCTCCTCATCCGCCCCAGCCCCCGTCTTCCAGTGTCTCTTAGGCTCAGGGCTCGAGCTCAAACGGCGTTTTGGCGATGCCCTTTTCGTTTAGACTGCAGCAGAGGCGGAACGACGACAGAACGAAGGAAAATGAAACACTCGTTGGATCGGGCCCCGGTTGGACTCAGCTGGCTGCCTCCTCTCATCCGTCCGCGGCCAGGGCTCGCGCGCAGAGCGAGCCGCGACCCACCCGCGTCCGCCCCTGGTGGCGCGGTCCTTTTGGAAGCGCGCCCTCACCGAGAGAGTGTCGTGGCACCAGTTTTCGGAGCGTATCGTTCTTGAAGTCAGAGCAGCGCCCTCCAGTTTGATTAGTATGTCCCCTTGTTTGATCTGAGTGCAGCGATGCTTCACGCGAGTGCAGCCCACGTTCATCCGAACATTCCGTTCACGCCGCCTTACACCGGTTGTCCTTTGGCACGCACCTCGGAGAGGTGCCACCGCGCACCCCTTCCAGGAGCCGGGCGGGGGTGCACGATGGCGCCGCGCGGCGCGCGGGTGCTGAGGGCAGGAGAGGGCCAGCTGGGGAGTCCCCAGACCCCCGACGTCGTGATGTTTCCCCATATCCTGAGATGGGGTTCTTGTTCCCCCTATCCCAAGTATGGGGTTCTTGTTATTGGCCGACCGCGCCGGAGGAACCTCCTCCTCCTCCTCACCTCCTCTCACTCAGACCCACTCAGACTCAGTCATCACTCAGGCTCCCTCATCACTCAGACTCAGTCAGCCACTCAGACTCACTCATCACTCAGACCCACTCATCACTCAGACTCACTCATCACTCATACCCACTCATCATTCGGACTCAGTCATGACTCAGACTCATCACTCATCACTCAGACTCACTCATCACTCCAACTCACTCATCACTCGGACTCACTCATCACTCAGACTCACTCGTACTTGTACTCATACATTCACTACACTCACTCAGGTCCACTCATCGGATGACTCACACACACACTGATGTTGAGGATGTGTCAGGCGATTCTGTGGCTTCAGCACTCTTAAGGGGAGCGGCGGGGGGGTATTGCACTGGGTCCCTTTCGCGGGATTTTGTGGGGATGTCTCAGGCGGTTTGCCTGTTTGCTGTCCCAGCATCCTTCGCTTTCGGAGCAGATTTGGAGGATGTCTCAGGCGATTCGCTGGTTTCAGCACTCCTAAGGGGAGCGGCGGGGGGGTATTGCACTCGGTCCCTTTCGCGGGATTTTGTGGGGATGTCTCGAGCGGTTTGCTTGTTTTCTGTGCCAACATCCTTCGCCTTCGGAGCAGATTTAGAGGATGTCTCGAGCGAGGCGCTCATTTTCACCCCCCAGGTGGGCCAGATTTTGAGGATGTCTCGATCGGTTTGCCTGTTTTGGTGGCCAGGCTCGTGGGCGCAGATTCTTCTCAGGATGCCACAGGAGGCTCCAACAGGCTCCAGGAGGCCCCAGGATACCACATG